TTTTTCTAATAAAGCAAAATTTTTAAAATTCATTTGCAGAAATTTCTCACTATTCCCCAAAGTTAATGATTCATTTCTCTTTGCTGAACCTTTCCATTTTGAGTCACTGTGGCATTAATTTCTTCTTGCTATTGTTACTGTGCTTATAGGAAATACAGTTTAGGGAAGTTTTACATCCCTTTTTTACAATTTAAAAATCATAAAAATGATAAGTTTAAATTGTAAAAAAGGGATGTAAAACTGACGTGTCACATCAGTTCAAGTTATCCCCTGACGTGTCACATCAGTTCAATTCACTGACCAGCAATGGCATAAAATGCACGATGCAGTTCTTGGAGGAAGACAAAGGCTGTAAGAACATCTCACACACACAACCCTCTCAGTCTCCCGGGCCATCAGGATGAATTTCATCACGGAAAAGGTGATTAAACACTGGAAAGCACTCCCGGGGAGGTGGAGTTACTGTCCCTGGAGGCGTTTGAGGAAAGGCTTTGAGAGGCGTTTAAGGGCGTGGCACTCAGCGCTCCGGTCGGGTTGACGAGGTGATGTTCGGGCAAAGGTTGGACTTGATGATCTCAGAGGTCTTCTCCACCCTAATTGATTCTGTGACTCTGTGATGCTCCCCAGCGCTGCCACAGCCTGATCCTGGATGGGCACCTTGGTTTCACATGCAAAAGGTTTACCTGAAAAGCTTTACACCTGAGCTCTTGCAAAGCCTTACCTGCAGCCCTGCCCCATCTCCTTCAGCTGCAGATGATCCCCTGGATGCTCCCTGGCCCTGGCTCAGCCCCTCACCCTGTCCAGGGCTGCTGGTGGACCCCAGCACCCCCAGCTGGGGTGATTGTGACCACTGGCAGGGCCATGGCTGGCACAGGCACTCCTGCTCTCTGCCACCCTGCCTGGGGCATTTCAACAGTGGGGTGTGCTCCAGCCTCATCCACTCTCACTGTGTCATTGTAACAGGGGGCATCAGTGCCAGGCATATCACACTCACCTGTGCCAGGTGAGTAACAGGGGACATCCATTCCAGACACATCACACTCACCCGTGTCATTGTAACAGAGGAAATTGGCACCACTGCACTCACCTGTGTATTGTAATGGGGGGACATTGGTGCCAGGCACATCACATTCACCTGTGCCATTGTAACAGGGGACATCCATTCCAGACACATCACACTCACCCATGTCATTGTAACAGGGGACATCAGTGCCAGGCACCATCACACTCACCTGTGTCATTGTAATGGGGGAAATTGGCAGCTTGGCTCTCATCTGTGTCATTATAAAGTGGGGAATTGGGACCATGATAGTCACTGTGACAGGGGAAATTGGCACTATGGCTCTCACCTGTGTCACTGTGACAGGGGACACCCATTCCAGGGACCATGGTTCTCACCTGTGTCACTGTGACAGGGGATACCTATTCCAGACACAGTGACACAGTCACACTCACCTGTGTCATTATAACAGGGGACACCTGTTCCAGGCACCATGGCTCTCAACTGTGTCATTATAATGGGGGAAATTGGCATCATTGCTCTCACCTGTGTCACTGTAATGGGGACACCCATTCCAAGCACCATTGCACTCACCTGTGTCACTGTGACAAGGGAAATTGGCAGCTGTGTCACTCTGGCTCACCTGTGTCATTGTGACAGGGGACACTATGGCTTCAGGCACTATGGCTCTCACCTGTGTCACTGTGACAGGGGACACCTGTTCCAGACACCATCATACTTACCAGTGTCACTGTGACAGAGGAAACTGGCACCATCACACTTACCTATGTCACGATGACAGGGGACACCTGTCCCAGGCACCATCACACTTACCTGTATCTCTGTAACAGGGGACACCTTTCCAGAGACCATGGTGATCACTTGTATCACTGTAATGGGGGACACCTGTTCCAGGCACCATGGCTCTCACCTGTGTCACTGTGACAGGGGACACCTGTTCCAGGCACCATGGCTCTCACTTATGTAACAGAGGACACCTGTCCCAGGTACCATGGCTCTCACCAGTGTCCCTGTGACAGGACCACCTGTCCCAGGCCATCCCTGTCCCGTGCCGGTTGCCCTCCTGGCCGCCCCGAGCCCTGTCCCCGGCCGTGCCCGTGTTCGGGTCCAGCTGTCCCGAGGCGCTCCGTGTGTCACCGTGTGGGGTTGTTGGCTCCGTGTGTCACCATGCGGGATTTACTCCGTGTGTCACCGTGCGGGGTTGCTGGCACCGTGTGTCACCATGCGGGGTTGTTGGCTCCGTGTGTCACTATGCAGAGCTCGCTCCGTGTGTCACCGTGCCGGTTGTTGGCTCCGTGTGTCACCGTGCGGGGCTCAGTTTGCTTTGTGTGTCGCCATGCGGGCCAGCTCCGTGTGATCACCTTGCGGGGTTGTTGGCTCCGTGTGTCACCGTGCGGGGTTGTTGGCTCCGTGTGTCACCATGCGGGGTTGAGTTCGCTCCATGTCACCGTGCAGAGCCAGCTCCGTGTGTCACCATGCGGGGCTGGCTCTGTGTGTCACCGTGCGGGACTCAGTTCGCTCCATGTCACCGTGCAGAGCCAGCTCCGTGTGTCACCGTGCAGGGCCGGCTCCGTGTGTCACTGTGCAGGGCTGGCTCCGTGTGTCACCGTGCAGAGCCAGCTCCGTGTGTCACCGTGCAGGGCTGGCTCTGTGTGTCACCGTGCGTGTCACTTCCTCCGGGCCGGTTAAACATTGACAGGCACAGGGCGGGGGAAGGCAGAGGCCATCCCTGCGTGTCACAGTGCCAGGCACGGCCTGCGGCGGGGGCACAGCTCGGAGCGGCCTCCCTTCCCTCGCAGACAGTGTCCCCAGCACCCGAGGGACGTTCCTGGGGACACAGGTGCGGGCAGGCCCGGGATCCTCCCCCGGATCCCCTCCAGCCCCTGTGGGCAGCGGGAGCCGGAGCTGCCGTCAGAGGGGAGCGGTGACAGAGCTCAGCGCCAGGGATGTGATCCAGGTAAAGCCCTGGATTTGCTTCCCGGATGGAAGATAATTTAACCCTTTTAGCCCCTTTCCCTCCTCCTGCCTCAGCATGGAGCCTGCCCTGGGTGGCAGGAATGGTTTGTGGCTCTGTCTGCTGTTCTGCTTCCTGGCATTTGGGGTTGGTGTCCACCGTGGGGTGCCCAAAGCATTGAGCCCCTCTCTGGGTCCAGCTGCCATTCCTGGAGGGGATGATTATTGTTGTTATCCCCTGCCTGTGTCGTGGATGAGGGAGGGAGCAGGCTCAGAGCAACCTGAGTCACCCATGCGCCGGCAGAGGAGGGGAAAAGCAGCCCAAAACAAACCCAGGCATTTAATTCATCCTCAGCCAAAATATCCTGTTTCATCTGGGGATCAGATTGTATTTCCCAGCCCTTTGAAAGTCCATTTTGAAACCGAGTAAAACAAAATATTACAGATCCCTCCCTTTCCTGCCTTGCTTTACTTCACCCCAAGCTGTTTACTGATTTTTGTCCTGGATTTGGCACAATGCTCTTGCCAGTTTATTCCTCACCATGTAAAACTTTACCCAGCTCAGGTTGCTTTGGATTTGTCAGGGGGGGTATGAAGGCTGCTGTTCTGGTTGGAAATCCTGCTTGGTGTCACAGCTTCCTGGAAAAGGACCCAGCCCTGTGTTTTGGATTTGTTCCCTGGTGCTTTACTCGGGCTGTTTCACTTGGTGTGACAGATGATACCAGCCCCTGTAATCCTGACTGGTTTGTGTGTGACAGCCGAGAGCTGTGACGGTGACAGAGCACAGAGAAATCCCTGCAGGCCCTGCACAGTGACCCTCCCTCCCCACCTGCCTGCTGGGGACTCCTCCACACATAAAATATGGAGATAAAAATACCCCAAAACCTTTTAAAACACACTAGGAAAACCTGAACAAACAGGTGAAGAGATCAGCCCACAGACTTGGCTGAAAATGTTGATTAAGTTGACAGGGCTGTACTGTAGGTTCCCAGGGTAAACCGAAAGCTTGAAAAATGGGAAAATGTGGATGAAAATGGGAAAAATGTGGATGAAAATGGGAAAATGTGGATGAAAATGGGAAGATGTGGATGGAAATGAAAGCTGGGCCTGCCAGATTCCAGCAGGGAACGGAGCTCTGGTACCTCCAGGTGCTGTAGGGAACCCAGGGTGTCCCTGTGGTGACACTGAGTTGTCATGCACTGCACAGAGCTGCCACAAACAGCACCCCAGCAGTCAGAAACACTTTTCCTGACAAGAAATTTGATCTGGCCACAAAACCACATCCCCTGGCCCGGGTTCCTTTCACAGAGGCAAGCTTCAGTGGCCCAGATGAGGAATTGGTAAACCAAGCGCAGTCAAAGCCTCTCCCACATATTTTGAGGGGGAGGAGGAGAATATCTGACAAGTGAATCACAAACACTGAAAAAGCAGAAAATATGGGAGTCAGGTGGTGTCTCACACCCAGAATCTGTGCATTATTTCTGACCACAGTGGAGAGCTGCAGGTGATTTATTGTGGGGTATAGGAGGCACTCTCAGGTTCTGAGGAATAACTCTGGGGATCTTTTTTTTTACATTCTCAGCCTTTCTGAGGGCTCAGTCTGTGCAGCTGGGGGGAGATTTGATGTTTCTCATCCCCAGAAGTGCAGCAGCTCAGAGAATTATTTTTCCTAATTGTTCAAGGGTAACTTTAATGGTGCAGCTGGAGCTACCCTGACCCTGTCAGTGCTGAAGCAGGAGGGGCTGAGGAATGGGAGATCTGCAGGAGGAGGTTTCTCTGCTGAAAACAAGTTCCTCTGTGTCTTTAAAAACAGTTATTTGAGGAAAGATTCTGCTCTGCTTCCAAACCCTCCCTCATTTAATCTTTTCCCCTTGTTGGTGGAACAGGTCACACAAAGTCACCCTCGTCACAGCACCCAAACTCATTCCTGAGTTTCTCCAGGAGTTCTGTCCTTCAGCTCTGTCCTCTCAAGCATGCAGTGACCACTGGTGGCTTCCTGCCTCAGGGACCAGGAGAGAATGCTCCAATGGAGAGCTTCCAGAAATGCATTTTGCTCCCCCTCATCCTGACTGCCTCGCTGCCAGGTAGGACCTGCTCAAAACCCATGGGATGAACCAGCACGGATAAAATGTGGGCACTCATTTCAGGGTGGTGGAAATGGCCTTGGGGATGAGCTCAGGCTGATTATTTCAACTGTTTGAAAGGAGATGTTTGTATTTCAAGCCTGAACAATCTAAAGTGTGCTTGAGTGTGAAGGACTGAGCAGAATGTGGGGTGGGGAGGAGGTGGGAGGCTGCCCTCTTCCAGTTTACTTGTTTTTCTCTTCCTCCTGTTTGGGACTGCTTTTGAGAGAGCATCTGTAGAAAACTCAGCATCAGCAGCTGGTTTTTACTTTCAGAAGTAAATGCAAATTATCATGTTGCTGGTTTGCCCCCAATTCATATTTCACAAGTCTCAAAGTCAATTCAAATTAAAAGTGTCTTTGTGGCAAAGCTTTAGAGGAAAAGTGAATATTAAGTGACTAGTTGGGTAATGGAGACAAGGCTGATTTTTTTTTTTTTTAATTACAGTCTAGCTGGAGTTTTAAGAGGCTCTGACAGGAATGAGCAGCCCTGGGATGAGGGGAAAGGTGTTGTCATGGATTAATGGTGAAAGGAAACACAATGCAGGGATAAACACTGAGTGTTCTGAGCACGGAGCTGCACAGGGATGTGTGGCATTCAACAAGCCCTTAAACAACCTGGTGAAGAGGAGGGAGCTGTGAGGTGGCAGACTTTGCAAGCAGTGCATAATTAGGGCAACCAAACCCAAAAAGGGACCAGGAAGATTTGCCAGAAATTGTCATGATGTCAGATCTGTAAGTAAGAAAGGCAGAGAAAGCATTTAATGCAAAGCATCTCTTAAATGTAATGTCTAGTGGAGAAAATAATAGATGTCTTGGAAAGAGAGAAAATTGCTGAAAAAGAGAAAATTTCACCATTTAATGTCTTCAGCAAGGGCAGGTAAAATGAAATCTGGCATGATGTAAATCCACAGAAAGGTTTCATCTCAGATATTGGCTGTTTTGTTAACCCTTCCATCACAAACAGGACAGATCTGAGAAAGCTACAAAGTGTGATGGAGCTGTTCTAAGGCAGAGAATAAAGAATCATAGGAGGGTTTGGGTTGGAAAGGACCTTAAAAATCTCCCAGTTCCAGCCTCCCTGGTTGGGCAGGGACATTTTTCACCAGACCAGGTTCCTCAGTGCTCCATTAGCCCTGAACACTTCCAGGATGGGGCATCCAAAGCCCCTCTTGCCTAGGAGGGAAGGATGAGGAGGCTTCATTAGACTGGGGTATCTTTTTCCTGCTTGTGAAGAAGAATAAATGGTAAAAATGTATTAAAAAGACGAATTTTATGGAAGTGAATGGTGAAATGATTATTTACAATTTCTCATAACAAAAATAATTTGTGGTAACCACTAAAAGTATCAGATTTAGGGCTAATCAAAGACTGTTCTTTTCTCAGAGCATGTCATTAAATAGTAAAGCTCATGGTCACTGGCTGTGGGGGATATAAAATTATAAACAGGTTGAAAACACCTAGAAACAAATATCATAAAGGGTAGATCCATAGGTGCAGAAGTGTCACCATCATATTTGCTGAAAAATCCCTTCACCAGGATTTCTCCTCCTGGGAAGCTGAGAAACCTCAGAGAAAAAGGAAAACAATAATTATCTGATTTTCTTCTCCTGTGTTTTGCTGCTTTGGAATGTGGTTTGGAGATTTTTTTTTATCCAACATATGAATTGTGAGGAGAGAATCAGGAGTTTTTAATTAGTATCTTGTTAAGCTTTCTGTCTGTATCCTATCATGATATGATATATGATATAATATAATATAATATACCATAAAATAATAAATTAACCTTCTAAGAACATGGAGTCAGATTCATCATTTCCTTCCCATGATGAGGACCCCAGAAAATACCACAAAAAAGCAATTTTTGGCTCAGGAAATCCCTGGATTTCTATTTTTTTGAGCACTGGGAAGTTCTACCAGGGATTTCTGTCAAACATTGAGTGAGAGGAGAGAGCAAGACAAGCCTGGGGGCTGTGGAGAGGATTGTGTGCAGGTGGGAGGAAATAACGAGTTGCTGAGCATCAGGAGTCTGGTATTACTTGACAGAAACATCCTGTAAGCATTTAAAAATTCTTGTTAACACGAGTGAACGAGCCAGTGCCTTGCTGCAGGCTCTGACAAGCTCTAACCTACTTTGGTTTTCAAAAAGCTCAGCTGCAGGGCTGTTGGGTTTTGAGACAAACTGGAGCTGCTTATTTATTTATTTTATTTATTTATTTATTTATTTAATTTTATTTATTTATTTATTTATTTATTGTTGTGTGTTTAACAGCTGATAGCAGAGCTGTGGCTGGAGCAGTGGTGAGGAAGGGGAGGTAGGAGGCAAGGTGGGATGAGCAGGAGAATGAATAAAAAGTTAAGAGAAAAAGGAATTTCAAAGAGACTGGAAAGGAAAAACAAAGAGATGTAGAAATTCAAACAGAAAGAGCAGAGAGGGAAGGGAGAAAGGCAGATATTGGATACAAAAAGTGAAGGATGAAAAGCAGTGTTTGTGGAAGGGCAATATGGGTAGAGAGGGGGAGATTATTTTGAAATACGATAATGAGGCTGAAATAAAAAGAGGAATCATTATGGCAAAAGGATAAGCTCATCCTGTCCTTCCCTGTGCTGCATCCAAATAGGTCACTCACAAAAGAGGAAAGGCAGAGCCAGCAGAGGACAGGAGGCAAGGAAGAGGAGGTAGCCAGGTCTCAATGCCCTTGTTGTTGAAAATCCAGCGTGGAAGAGAGGTCCTTTGGGGTTCATTCAAGTGTGGAATAAAAAACATTGCTGATGATGGGCAAGGGTGGCTCTTTGGCAAATGAGGTTCCCTCAGTGCAGGCACCACCCTGCACAAGGTGCATTTTCATTTCTTCGCCGCCTGCAGTGGTGTCACAGGGAATTTGTGTGGCAGAGGAGGGAAAACCCCAGCTCACAAAGGAGCTGGTTTGTGTTGCTGGGAGGCACCTGGGACACCAGAAACACCATAAACACTTCACTTAAGCAAATTTTCACCCCTGCTGACTGCTCTGCAGACACTGAGTGATGTGCCTCAGAGAAGGTGTCCTCCCTCAGCCCGGGGGTGATCAGGGAGCCAGCCCAGCATTTCCCTGCTCTCTGCCTCGGTGGGATCTCTCCCTGCTGCTGTGGGGGGAAGCAGATGCTAAAGCAGCTGTTGAGAGCTGAACACGTAATTCCTGTAAAGTGCAATGAGAATCTAGCCCTTAATTTGTTTAAAAGCAGCCATCTGCAAGGTATTTTTGAAGCAGGATGCAAATGAAAGCAGCGCTAACACTTTTTTACCCCCAGTGCATGAGGCAAGGTCCAGCACTGGCTGGAGGCATTGGTGGCTGGGTTTGGGTCCCTTTTGTGCCATGAATGCCCTCTGTGACCTCCCACAGGTGACTTTGTCACTGTTTGTGCACGGCTTGGACAATGGAACACGCTGTTGGTTCAGGACTCCACGTGCAGAACAAACAATAAAAGCAAGGAGATAAAGAGGCAGAGGAGAAATCACCAGAACCATTCAGGCCACAGGTGGAGAAAGCTGATGGAACTCCTTTATGGGCTGGGAGCTAAATGCAGGAGAGGTGATGTCCCACCCCTCAGCCCTTCTGCCTCCCCAAGGATCCCCATGCAGGGCTCAGGGACCTTTCTCCATGGGGCAGCAATCAGGGAAATGCCATTTATTGCTCCAGCAGACATGGCTGGTGGAAGGAGATGTAGATCCTTCCTTACCTATGGACTGATGAAAAATAATTATCACCGATAAATGATTAACTCATACCTACCTGCCTATACTGCCCTGAAGAAAGCAAAAGCAGCATAGCCAATTATTTTTAGAGCCAATGATCACTGATTATTCCTGTTTAGGGATAAATTTCAAAGATTAATTAACAGCAAGCATTGTCCTGAAAGTTGAACCATTTATTCAGAGCCCTGGCAGACCAGAGCTCCTTGAAAAAGCAGAGTGTTTGCACAGGCATGGAAATAAATTCCAAGTGCACAGAGAACAGTTTGCATTAAGAGGGGCAGAGTGGGTAAGTTTTAATTTGAACAGAAATATGATTTACTTAATCTTATCTGGCTTTACTAATTATCACAGTAGGTAAAGTTTGCTTTTCATTTGATGTTTTGTTGCTCACACACAGATATGCTCAGCAGACTGAGGGGCATGGCAGAGGGAACATAACCCAGGAAGGTGGAAAATTCTTGTGGAGGTTTTTGTAAACATGACAGAACTCAGAGTCAGCCATACACAGAGCAAGGTTTGCACAATCCTGCAAAACAAAGAACTCTGAAAATGCCTGCAGCAGGTGGGAGGAAAGAGAGGAGCTATTTATATTAAAGAACAATCCCTGGCACCAGCCTGGTTGGATGTACAGGGCATAAATGTGGGCTGGGTGTGGTGTTTGTGGGGGTCCCTAGGACGAGGTGAGAGATGAGAATCTGACTCCATGTTCTCAGAAGGCTGATATATAATATAATATAATATAATATAATACAATATAATACAATACAATACAATATTATATTATATTATATGTATAAATTTATATATAATATTTTATAAGAAATATTTTATATTTAAAATATATATTATGTAACTATATTATATACATATAACAATATACCATAATATAATAGTAATTACATTATATTATATTATATTACATTATATTATATTATATATTTTATATGTATTATAAATATATTTTTATATATTATATATTTTATATTTATTATAAATATATTTTATATGATAAAATATATTATATGTTTTAATATATATTTTATAATAAAATATAATTTATATAATATAACAATATATTATATTTTATAATTCATATTTTTATATACAAAATATATATTATAAAATATATTATGTAAATAGAATTATATTTACATATAAATATATAATGTAAATAAATTATCTATTCTATTCTATTCTATTCTATTCTATTCTATTCTATTCTATTCTATCTATACTAAAGAAAGAGAAAGGATATATCCAAAGGCTTAACAAAAATGAATAATAAAATCTTGTGACTGACTCCTCAGAGTCTGACACAGCTGATGGTGATTGGTCATTAATTAAAAACAATTCACATGTTTAGATAAACAATCTCCCGACCACATTCCAGAGCAGTAAAACACGGAGAAGCTGAGGCTTCTCATCTTCCCAGGAGAAGAAATCCTGGCAAAGGGGTTTTTCAGAAAATATCACGGTGACAGCTGGGAACTGCAAAAGGCTCTGGGCAATGGAGCAATGAGGTCCCAGACCCCAGTCCTGGGAGCAGCTCACTGAGGCACTGGTTGCAATGTCCTCACTGAGATTGGGCTCTGGTTCCATTTACACAAACTCCAAACACCCCTGTTGTGTGAAAAATAGGGTGTGTCCTTCTCACATCAGCTGCTGACTGAAAGAATTTTTTTTCTATAATTTATAGCTAATCCATTAATGAATAAACTACCTAAAAACCAACCTGGTGTGAACAAAACCCTTAAAAATTACTTCATTGCCCTGAATACTCTTAGCAAGGGAGTGATGACCATTTCAGGCTTCCTTTCTCCTGGAGCATAATTGGAACACTTATTCTCAGGCCAAATTGGCTGGCATGGGGTTTTAATTAGACTGCCATGGGCTGCAGTGTCTAATTGCTGCCATCGTGCAGAGCTCAGCTGGAAGCACTGGGGCACCACAGCAGGAATATTCCCTTGAGGAAGCAGTTCCCCCTGGCAGGAGGGAAATGTCCATGCTTGGACTCAAAATATTCCTGTGCAATTGGTGGAGTTGGCAATGGGAGGCCCTGGGTCTGCGAGGAGGAAAGGAAAACAAAATTACTTTGTTAGGAGTTTTCAGCTCTGAAAAAATATTGGCCAAAATTCACACTGCCTTTCAAGGAGTTAAAACTAATGAGTTCAAGCACACCTTGGATAACAGAAAGCCTTTAGGAAGGCTTTAGAAGAAATACATGACAATGTGTGTGATGAATGATTGAGGAACAGGGGGAAGAGCACTGATGGGGCTGCAAAAAATCAGTGGCAATCCAAGATACGGAAAAGGGACTGGTTAAACACTCCTTTAATTATTTAAAATGTAGGCAACTCATGTATTTTCCCAGTTAAAACAGGATTTTTCTGTCAGCAAAATGGTAGTCAGTGAATTACTGAAGAGAAACAGGTGATTTTGGAGTGGGAGAAGGAGAGACAAAATAATTAAGGCATTTTTGAAGAAAAGCACTTAATCTAAAAATCTGAAAGAATAGATTGCACAACTCCATCTCTGAACCGGTTAAGATGTTTTACACTATCCAACCACCTCTGTTGGTGTTGTATATGTATTTATGGACTGATTTTGGCTCCTTCACAGGTCTGGGCTTTTGTTACTCCATCACAAAAGGCCCTGAGAACGCCACGGTGCTGGCTGGCTCCGAGGCCAGGTTCAACTGCACGGTGTCTGCAGGATGGAAAGTCATCATCTGGCTCTTCCAGGGCAGCCCTGTGCTCACTGTGCTCAGCTCCCAGGGCTCTGTGGAGACCACAGAACGCTTCACCTCCAGGAACTACAGCACTGGGGATGAGTTCACCTCGGAGCTGATCATCCACAACACCCAGCTGAGTGACTCTGGCAGGATCGAGTGCAGCATCCAGCAGCCCAGTGAAAACAACTTTGCCTTCCTCTCTGTTCAAGGTGTGTATGGCTGATGCCCTGGGAAGGCTGACCTAGAACAGAGCTACAGAATAAAGCAGGGATTTATTAAAATGGATCCACCTTGGGCAGCACAAGAGCCCAGCCGGGGCTGCACCCAAGATGAACCAAAATGGCCCCAAAATGCACGGCCGGGCACGGGGTCTGTCCCTGGGATCAGTTCTGCTCCATTTGCACCTTGCAGTTCATTGTCCCATCCCAGCTTTAGCCCAGGCAGTCCCACCCTGCTTGTTTTTCTCTCTCCAGCCCACGGTGTTTGTGCTCCTGGGCTGAGATTTGGGTCATTTGTCCTTGGTGCCCAGCTGGAGCAGGAATTGTTTTGTCTCCCTGCTCTGTGCACAGAGCTCACCATCCCATAATGTGAACCCAGACCCACACACTAAAGCAGCACAAAATCTGAAAAACAGAAAAGCTCAAACCTGAAGCATCACAGCCACCAGCAAAAAGCTGTTTTATTGTGCTGCACTTCAGGGAATCCTCTGAGGAATTGCTCAGGTTATCCCTGGGAAGGAGTACAATGCTCCCATTTCCCATCCTTTGCCTCCTACCCTCCTCATCCTCATTTTACTGATTGGGTTTGAGTCACATGCAGAGTGCCAATAACAGAGGATATAACTGCCCCTGTTTTTTCCTGCTCCATCTCTTATTCCTTATCAGCCTGCAGCCAGGGAAGCAGGATCTCAGCACCAGGCACCATCCATCCATCAGGGAGCGGCTTGGTGCAGTGTTGATCTCATCACCCACCTGTAAACCTCTTCTTATATGACCAGAGCATATTTAAAACTCAGAGAACAACACTATTATTTCACTATGTTGTCCTCCAGCTGGATATGTGTCAAGATGTCCAAAAAGTGCAATTTCCTGCTTTTTATTGGAAAGGTACTGAAAGTTGAGATTTGTGCTTTGACATATTGGGTAATGGGCCAGTGTAGCTGAAATATCTGCATGTTTCCATCATGCATGTGGTGTATCTGTATTAATAATTGTTTTCCACTTCATATCTCAAGGCATAGCTATTTCTGGGTAGCGAGATAAGATTTAAAAACCACCAGCAGGAAAGCAATGCAGCGAAACGTTCTGAAGGAACAAAAACATCTTTTCCCTCCCACAGTTAATGGATCTTTACTCATCAAAAATAGCACCTTAACAGTAAAAGACAACCAAACAATTGAGATTGTTTGTGAAGCCTTAGGATGGGCTCCAGCTCCAGACATTGCCTGGATGACAAATGACTCTTGGGTTGATAAGTCGAGCTATGTCACCCAGCAAAGCCCAGGATCTCATGGCCTCCACAATGCCCTGAGCACCTTAACTCTGACTCCGAGGGACACGGAGGTTTTGACTTGTTTAGCTGACATAGAAGCACTCCCCAGCCCTCAGAATGCATCTGTAACTCTTATTTTTGACAACTCTGCCACGGGTAAGTGAATGTTTGTTGTGCTTTTTCCCGTCCTGTGCTCAGGGCTGTGCGTTTTGTTCTGGTTGGTTTTGCTTTAGAAAGTTGTTTATTTGCCAGTGAAATCCTCTGGGGTGTGGGATTCGGGGCCAGGAGTCACAGCATGATGTACAGGTAGGGTTAAATGTGCTTTTAGCAGTCTAATGAACCATGAAGCCCAAGGCAGGACTGAGCACTCCTGTGGATTCCACTCCTGTGGATTCACTGCAAGGAAAACCAGCATTTGCTCTTTGACCAAGAAAACAGCCAAGGAATTTAGATCTTAAATACCCTTGATCAGAGCATGCCTGCCATATCAACTTAATTTTTTACAAAGCCAAACCCTCGTGTGAAATTGTTCTCTGGAATATCCAATACCAGTTTTACCCCTGATTTGGGAGAAAAACCCCTCCCAGTTTCTGCACACAACCCAGAAAAAATTCTGTCCCAACACATATGGAATTTTTTGGGCAGTGCATTAGGTTGATTTTTACTGGCTTTCGCTTAAAGAAATCCAAAGTTGCTTTAATCCAAAGTGGGATGTCATGCAAATCTCTGCAGAGCAGTTAGCAAGGCCTTTGATAACTCTAAATATTTTTGCTAAGGTTGTAATCATGCTGACAGCTTCTCTTGATGAACTGATTCTTCCTCTGCAATGGGTGAACGAGGCACACACAAAACATCCTTACAGGGTATCAATGAGGGGTTTGGTGCAGACATTTTGACACATAAACAACTGAGAAGATTGAGTGGCTGTGCCCTTTGTTTTCTGTATGAATCATTATTAGCAGGCCTTTTTCAGAAGTGTTTGCTTGGTAATGCAGTTGGAAAAGGTGATTTTACCACCCCTAATATGGCCTTTTGTAGTCACATTGATCTTAATTACTGACTAAGCAAAAGAGGACTATCCTGAGGAAATTAATAAATTCCCCTGCCCACTCATTTGTGATGTTTCCCTAGCTACTCCCTGCAAATCAGAAGAGGAGAAAAACAGATGTCATGAAGCACTATTAGTGTATAATTTGTGATTGTACAGGACCATCATTCATTTCTCTTTGGAAATACCATTGTGCAGCAGCAGCAGGCACTCAAAATTTGACAGGATAGGAGAATCTGAAGTCCTTAAATGATCAGGATGAAATGAAAGCATGGAATTTGTGACACAGGAAGGTATATAATGTACATACCACACTCAAAATCTTAGAGCTTGTCCCAGTTTTCATACATGGGCTCAGCCTTAGCTGGCTCTTGGGAAAGAGCACAACCAGCTTCAAACATGTAAGAAATCCTTCCCAAAACTACTCAAATTTTCTCCTAAAAAGCTGGGGGAATCAAATTCCTTGTTCCTCTCAAGCAATACAAGAACTACAGAAAACCTGAGCCCTCTCCAGCCACATGGGGAGGGAATGTCCCTCCTTGCTGCACCTCTGGGTCAGTCTTTCCATACAAAGTGATGCATTTTCATGTCATTCAGTTTTCCTTTGGGGAAGTTTGGCTGTGCCTGAAATTTGGGAACTCCTGCAGAGTTTTCCCAGGAGATCCATTCACAGAGCTTCAACTTGGAATGGGATCCATGGGGCAGTTCCTTAGCTGGGTCCAAGCTGTCTTTGGTTTTGTTGTTGAATTCCTGTGGCTTTTTGACCTGCAGAAGTTGGGGACAGAGAGCCTCCCATGAGCCTTTGGATGTCCTTTGCTTTTGGGCTCAACCAGAAAGCTCCAAAGTGCCCAAGGAGACACGTGCAGGTTTTTCCAGTCTCTCATTCCTCACTGCCTGGGAAAATCCCCTTTTCTGCAAACACTTTGTCAATGTTTGGACAACGTAGGGAGGAGCCAGAGGTCGGGATGGCAGCAGAGGATGGGCCCTGTGGAATGAGGAAGTGGCTCTGTCCACACTGAACACTCCATGGAGCTTGGTTTGCATTTCCTAAGGACTCAAAGGGATTTAACTCCTTCACCCCCTCGTGCAGCCCTGCTCGTGTGTTCACCTGGCAGCTCCTCAGCCACACCCAGCTCCAGCTTCTTTCTGCATCCTCCAAAACTGCAGACACACAAAAATGCTGAACCTCTGGGAGTATTTGTGTCGTTCCCTCTCCTTGTGGCTTCAGCTCCATAAATCTCTTGGAGATAACCTGACCCTGGCAGGGAGTGAAGCACCTTGGTGTGGCAGCTGCAGGTGTGTTCAGCTCCTCCCTTCTCACCAGGGTTAAGCTTTCCCCTCTAGCTAAATAGATGTCATTCACATTTTAGTCATCTTGAAACCCCCATGGCACCTCTATGGAACAAAATGTACTGAAATGTAGATATCTGTTGCAGTACTTCTAGATAAAAATACTATGAACAAGTTTATCATCAATTGATGTCAGCCTGCAGGATTTACTGCTAATTTTCAGCAGTAAATCCTGTATTTTTTTTTTTTTTCCAATAAAACTGAATGCTTGGTTTTTTTCCTAATAGAAGAAATTCCAAACATGCTGGTTGAGCATTAGGATTAGAGAGGACTGGAACAAATTGCTTAATGATAGTGACCTGAGCTTTGAATAATGCAGGTTCCTGGCAGAGGTTCAAGCTTTGTGGGAGGTTTTGGTTCTGTATCTTTTGAGTCTGAAACCTCCAAACCCCAAACACGCACCCAGGAAAATTCGAAAGGATTTAGTTTGAAAGGATTTAGATTGAAAGGATTTAGTTTATTCCCTGCCACAGGTAAACCTGGTTCCCACATCAGGGAATTTCATCAATTGCCCTGACCTTGAGCAGCTCCCAGTCCCCCTATTGCTGTGGTGCCTTTTCCAGAAGCTGTGTGCCCATGGAGTTGTTAATTGGGACCTCAAACGAGAAAAAGTCAATTACAAACTCATGGAACAGGACTGTGCCAAATCTGCATATGTCTCACACCTGTGATTTGGATTGGAAGATTGTTTCTAAACTGCCAAAAGTGTTTTGGGGCTGCTTTCCAAAGGGAACCCAAATTTGAGGTGCTTCTGGAATATTTGGTCAAACCAAGGGGCAGGATGATGTGACAAGGAGAAATGGCATCTTCCTTATACATCCAGCTGCCTGAGAAATATTCCCCAGCCCTGGAAGTGTTCAAGGCCAGGAATTGAATAAACCTGGAATGGTGGAAGGTGTCTCTGTTCATGGCAGGGGGTGGAACTGAGTGATCTTGGAGGTCCCTTCCAACCTAAACCATTCCATGATTCTATAATTCTAAATGCAAGATATTTTTAAAATTCTGTGCACGTGGGAGCTCTGTTTGGTCATAGCAACTGATTTAAGCAAGACATTGAATTATCCTTAAATCCCCTCGTTTAACCCTGTAGATTACAGCGAAGATGAAGGAATCAGTTAAATGTGAGCATGCTGTAGAGAAGATGGGTCAGTAGCTGTGTGTTCTCCACTGGTTTTGCTCTTTGCTGCTCTTTAAGTGGGGAACAGGAGTCGCACCAAGCACATCCCAAAATCAAACACTTGTTGAAATCATTGAGAGAAATCCCAAGATGGAGTGGATTAGAAAATCATTTTTCCAGGCTAGAGATCACCAACTGTTCTAATCCTCTACAATTCTTGCTGTGGTTTGTGGGGAGAAATGGACATTTTTTTCAAAGCAGCTCACCTTATTAAAAGGGACACATACACATTTGATCAAATTAATTGCAACCCAAAATACCTGTTTTCTCTCCACTGACAAGAGCAGCCAGGCAAGACATTAAATATTTGCAGTATGAACACCTAAACTGAATCTTAACACCTTTCCCCAAATGTCTTCAAAGGACTCTGGGATACCCAGCATAATTATAAAATAAAGTTAAGTTTGATGTTTGCAATCCTGTGCTTTTCAGAAGAGAATAAGCAGTGGGAGAAGCTACAACTGCAATAAAGGATTTGAATTCAGGAATATTTTAAATTCTTGGGTGCCATCCATAAAAACAGAGTCTGTCATTTGGAAAACACAGCCTCCTCACCAAACACTTCATAGCATCTCCCAGACAAGGCAAACAGGCTGAAAAGGGTGTTGTGAGGCTCTGATAGTCCAATCTTTCTCCATTTAATTTAACAGAAAATTATTACAGTGAAGACAACACGAGCACATGGGTTATTGTGCTTGCAGTTGTGCTTTCATTCCTTGGCATTGTTCTCCTGGTCGTTATTGTTGTGGTCGCTGTGCGCTGCTGCCTGAAGAGGAGAGGTGAGTGAACCCTCACAGCTGGGCCAAACATTAAAAAGGGGTTTTGGTAAGACATAAATCTACTTGTGTCAGCTCTGGTGCTGCACAAATTTTAATTTTACTTCTGTAAGCAGAAGACTGAACAGGCAGATCCTGCTCTTAGCCCTAACTTGTTTAAGATCCTCCTTAATTTCACCATCATGTTTCTCTCATGGATTTATTCCAATCAGTGTCAGCCCTTCATTCACATTAACTCACAGAGGGTCATGTTTTTTGTGAGTTTTGACTTTTAAAGACATTTAAATGTTATTTATTGAAGAATATTTTCAGTGCTGTGTGCCTAATTCCAGTTTCCACATAAGATGCTCTACAGGGCTGCCCAATTTTTCAGACAGGGTGGAGAGATGCTCCTGTGGTAGCTGGAACTCAAGCCATGCTCTTAGAGAACTCATAGAAGTTTTAAATTTGAATTTCCTGCATTTTAAACACCTCTTTTTTTTTTTTTTCATTTTTAGAATCTACTTATCAAAATGAAATAAGGTAAGACAGATGATGAAAAATTCTTGGTGTGTTTGCTGGATTCTTTGTGGTTGCTGCAGGGTGGCAAGCGGGACATGCCAGTGTCCTTGTCCTGGCATCCATCATCCCAGTACTCCTGGGCTGTGTGAGCTTGTAGGACAGCTCAGGGATGGGGGACAGCATCCAGGGAAAGGGATTGAATTAGAGATGGGGGACAGCATCCAGGGAAGGACCTTGTGACAGTGTTCACAGAGGTCTTAGGATGAGGGAAGCGATGAGGATCTGACTCCATGTTTCAGAATACTTGATTTATTATTTTATTATATATTTTATATTAAAAGTATACTAAAAGAATAGAAGATAAGATAAGATAAGATTTCATCAGAAAGCTAGCTAAGAATAGGAAAAAAAAAGAATGATAAAATGATAACAAAAGCTTGGGTCTCGGACAGAGAGTCCAAGCCGGCTGATTGTTATTGACCATTAATTAGAAACAGCCACATGAGACCAATCCCAGATGCACCTGTTGCGTCCCACAGCAGCAGATAATCATTGTTTACATTTTGTTCCTGAGGCCTCCCAGCTTCTCAAGAGAAAAAAGACTTAAAAAAAAAAGATTTTTCATGAAAGATGTCTGTGACAGACACTGACTTAGGGATGGGGGACAGCATCCAGGGAAGGGCACTGATTTTGGGATGGGGACAGCATCCAGGGAAGGGCACTGATTTTGGGATGGGGACAGCATCCAGGGAAGGGCACTGATTTTGGGATGAAGGGAGAGCCCCAGGCTCGCAGCAGGCAGTGAACTCCGATCCCACAGCGCTGAACACCCCTCGGAACCCCCAAAGCGCTGATGCGGCTCAGATGCCAGCTCTGTTCAAGCTGAAGGACAAAGCGGATCCCTGGAGCCGGCTGTGCCCAGGAGTGCCGGGGAAGGCAGGGAAGGGATGGCGGGACAGGAGCCGAGCCCGGCCGGCCATTGCCGCCGCCGCCACAGGGTGGCGCTGCCGCACCGGCCGGCAGCGCGGAGCCGGGAGCGGTTGGCAAATTCCAGCGGATAACGGGGAAAAAAGGGTTCACAGGGCAGCTTTCGAAAAAGGAAGAAATTAAATATTATATATGAATACATATATTATATGTATGTATATATATTAGTTATATATATAATATATAATTATATGTTATATATAATTATATATTACTATATATAATTGTATATAATATATATATTATATATATATAATATATATTATATATAGGGAAGGTTTGGATTAGATATTAAGAGGAAGAAATGAAATATAATATATGAATATCTATTACATATATGTTAAATATAACATATTATATAATATCATATATATTTGTATGTATTAAAATATATTTTATATAATAATTGATATAATATAATATAATATAATATAATATAATATAATATAATATAATATAATGTAATATAATATAATATAATAAATGTATTATATAAAAATATATTTATTATTACATAAAATATACATTTGTATTGTATAAACAATGGAATAATTTATATAAATAAACAATATGATAAATAAATAATTCGTATTTTATAAATAATAAATAAATAACATATATAATTTCTATATCAATATATAAAATACATATTATTGTAATATATAAATAATCTATAAAGATATAATATAAAAATATTATATATATAACATAACATAACATATATTATATAATTACATTATATATTAAATATTAAGAAATTCTTGACTGGGAGGCATTGGTACAGGTTTTCCAGGCATGATGTGACTCTCCATCCCTGGGAGTGTTCATTGGAGCAGCCTGGGATAGTGGAAGGTGTCCATGCCTACAGCAGGGGCTTAGAGCAAAATAATCTTTAAGGTTTTTTCCAACCCAAGCTATTCTATAATAAAAAATAATATATAATAATATTATATTATTATATAATTATATAATACATAGTAGTAAAAAATAAAAAAAAAAAAGTAAAGCTGCCCCGTGGATTTTTAATTAAAAAATTAATAAAGCTGCTTGGAATAAGATAATCTTTAAGGTTTCTTCCAACCCAAGCTGTTCTATAATAAAAATAATATAATATTTTATAATATTATATAATTATATAATATATAATAATTAAGAAGAAAAAAATTGATGAAGCTGCCCCATGGATTTTTCATTAAAAAATAATAAAAGTGCTTGGAACAAGATGATTTCTAAGATTTCTTCCAACCCAAGCTCTTCTATAATAAAAATTAATATTATATATAATAATATTATATATAATAATATTATAGGATTATATAATAATAATAATAATAATAATAATAATAATAATAATAAAATCTATAAAATTACTAAAGCTGCCCCATGGATGAGTCTCAGCGCCTCATCCACTGATTTCCAGATGTGTTTCAGTACAAAGTTGTTCTGTTATTGCACTGAGATGGAAAACTTTAGCAATCATTAACTGGTGGCTCTCAGCATTAAGATCCCTTTTTTCAGCAGCTGTGACAGCCGTGGCAGTGAGGTTATTAATATTATTATTTATATTTAGGCAGCATTGTGAATTCATTCCCTGCCTACGCCTGTGGGGTTTAAGTCCCCGTCCCTTAATGAGTTTGCAGAATGTTCCACCCCGCTGCCTGGCACGTCAGCAATTCCCAGTGTCATTAGCAGCCTCTTGTGGGGAAAGTTTGTGCAGGTCTGTTGACAGATTTCCATTTGTAAAGCACTTTATTGATGGGAAACAAAGTAAGGAAATTAGATACCCTCCGTTTTCTCCCAAGGAAATGATGCTTATTATGCCATGCCATACGTGTAAACTTTGTGATTTCTTACTTTGTGGGGTTGAATTAATCATTTTGCCAAGTGCAGCTCTATAAATAGGGCAGGAGTAAATCAGCAGGGATTGCTTGGATTCTGGCTTGGTTCAGAACCCCAAACACTTCCACAAGGATCAACTCTATAAAAGCAAAACTTGCAGGGAAGGACCTGCCCAGCAATGCATCTGCAGTGCTTCTTTCAGACAATTGAACAGATCCAGAATAAGGCATAACTTTCCCTCTATGTTTTTGCATCTGATCTGGGCAGAAACAATTCTACCTTCATGGCAAGGTGTGGTTTTAGCTCACAGTACTACAAAGTTACTGTTTCTCCATTAAAGATGAGTTGTCTCAGTGTGTTCACAAACCTTGCTTATACTTTAAAGTTCAGGCTCCAAGGCCCAGTTTGGACTTGGAGATTCAGTGTTGATTTCAAGCTTTGAAAATCAATGACCCTGAAATCACAGGGAGGATTATTAACAATCACAGATTTTGGAGGCTCAGTGTATTTTTCCCTTGGGGAGAACTTCCCTGCAGTAAAAGGAATGATGCTTGTCCAGATTTTGGAAGCTGGATCTGCAGTGCTTCTTTCAGACAACCTGAACAGGTCCAGAAACAGGCCGTAACTTTCCTTTCCCTCTATGTTTTTGCATCTGATGTGGGGAGAAACAATTCTAAGTTCATGGCAGAAATGTGGTTTTAGCTCACAGTACTACAAAGTTACTATTTCTCCATTAAAGATGACTTGTCTCACTGTGTTCACAAACCTTGCTTATAATTTCAATTTAAAAAATCTGGGATGAGTTCAGGCTCTGAGGCCTGGTTTGGACTTGGAGATTCAGTGTTGATTTCAAGGTTTGAAAAACAATGACCCTGAAATCACAGGGAGGATTATTAACAATCACAGATTTTGTAGGCTCAGTGTTCTTTCCCCTTGGGGGAACTTCCCTGGAGTAAAAAGAATGATGCTTGTCCAGATTTTGGAAGCTGCTGTGGTAGCAAAGAAGTAGTGAGACCAAACATACACTGGTTTATTTCTCACCTTTATTTTTAACTGGGCTGGCTATCTTCCTATGCCTCCCACACACCTTTTCTTTTTTTAATTTTTTTTTTTTTTGTAGCTGCTTTTTATTTGGCTACTCCACTGAGTTTGTTGGGATCTAAGGCTCAGATAAAAGAGACAGCACAGTGTCATGTAACATGTGGGGGTGGTAGCCCCAAACATTTGCTTTTGTCTTCTAGCAACCATGGCAGGGCTCTTAGTGGTGTCCAACCTGCTCATCTCCTAAAAAAGCCCCATAGCTGAGAGCTGAATCACCAGATTTCTGTGTGTGCATTAGTGACACCCCTCTGAAGCTCTGGGGGCCTGCAAAGTGATTCCTACTAAATAGAAAAGAAGGAGAATTACAGAATCATGGAATCATTGAGGTTGGAAAAGCTCCGCAAGGTCACTGAGGCCAAGCTGTGCTCCATGGGCATCTTGTCCCCAGCCCAGAGCACTCAGTGCCACCTCCAGGGGACACCTGCAGGGATGGGCACTGCAAAGCTCCCTGGGCAGTCCCTGCCAAGGCCTGAGCTCCCTTTCCATGGGCAAATTGCTGCTGCTGTCCCAGCTGAGCCTGCCCTGGCCCAGCCTGAGGCCGTTCCCTCTGCTCCTGTCCCTGTTCCCTGCCAGCAGAGCCCGACCCTCACTACAACTTTTGTACAAAGAATGCAACATTTTCCACAAACGTCACCAACATCCCTTCCCGACAAAAATTCCTGGTTTTCCATGGTGCATTTGTGCTTGCCACACCTCAAACCCAGGCAGAGGTGGACCTGGGAGTGTCCTGGAGAGGGGTCCATGGTAGCAACAGATCAATAGTAGCATCTCTTCTGGCATCAGAATTTTGGGTGAAAAAGCACCCAAATTCTCTCTGTGCAGCTGTGAGGGCACTGTTCTGCAAATTCAGAGATGTGTAACTTTAACCAAAGAGTTTCTCTCACATGTAAGGTAAATTTCAGAGTGAAAGATTAACTTCAGAGTGCACAGATGGATCCCTGTGACTGTGGGGATGTGAGAGGACATGCTTTGGGTTTGCAGCTGGGCACCAAAATGATCAGCTGTCATAAGTGACCTGGCTGGTGTTCCACTATTGGGCACCTAAATATCCTACAATTCAGAATCAGAGATCAAAATTAATTTTCTGCAAAACCTATGATCTGGCACAGAGTCCACACTTTTGGAAGGTTGCCTTATTTCCATTTCAAAACACATTTTGACATTGCAGCTGATGGAAACTTTCCAAACAGAATTTCATGGGCAATACCTCCATGCTAATTGCTTGGAATATGTTTTACACCTAAAAAAAATTATGTGTAAAAATTTTAGGTATAAAAAATTTAGGTCTAAAATTAAAAAAAAAATTTAGCTGAAAAAATATTATTTTTTGGGATGTGAGACATTCAATTTTTCTCTCTAGTCTGCTACCCAAGAGTTCTCCCACCATGGAGAACTTCTAATGACACCTTTTTGTTTTCTAGAAAAGTTTCAGCTGAGAAGAAAAAGGAAGGTGGTTTGGAAGACAGGCAGAGGAGTGGCAGTGAAAATCTGGGATACATTCCAGAGGAATTGTGGAACACAGAGCACAGCTCAGGTGAATCACAGATTGTTAAATTGCTTCTCAACATGGGCCTTTTGGACAACAGGTCAGACAATTAAAATTATGAGCTTTCACAATATTTAGTGAAGGACTTGTGCTTTTCCTGGACGTCTCCAGAACATTTTTGATGTTTCAGAGGAAGATCCTCCAAAAATATTGTGGAAACACCCAAGTTCTTTGCAATTGAATTTAGATTTAGTCCTGCGTTTGTTTTTTTTTTAAATGCCTTTGTTCTTCTAATTGTCTTCTGGGGCCAGATGTGGGAGGACTGGATTTTCATACAAGCAGCAATTTAGGCAATATTTTGCGGTTGGCCTGTGAAAATAAAAGAAAATTCACCACTGCCAACACACACAAAAAAAAAAATTAAAAAAAAATAGTAAAGAAAGAGAAGAAGGAAGGAATAAAGGCAGTTAGTGAACTATTATTTTACTGATAAATGACTAAGTTAGCATTATAAATTCTTGTCCTTAAGCACAAAGACTCTTCAAAAGCAAATGTAAATCTCCACCAAATCGTTACCTGGCACTTGCATTTTTAACCACGTTATTCTCAAAACATTTAATCAAACACTTAATGGCACAAAATTATTGTGCAGAGTCTGTAATCCAGGCAGACATCCTTTCCTCTCTGACAAATAAGTGGTGAAGAAATAAGTGCAGGGGAAAGATTTTGAGAGTATGTGGTATTGCAAAATGCAGCAGTTATAAAAAGTAAAAGGGAAATTAAGTGGATCTGGACAAATTGATTCCACAGAGTTCTAGACTGGCTTTTTTCATATTTGTTGGTATTCTGGGTTGACCATGGCTGGTCACCTCCCTTCTCCACTGACCTGGGTGTCTCCAGGACTGTTTCCTTCACACTTTCTCTCTCCTCTTTCCCAGGTCCTGCTGTGCTGGGTTTTTTTACCTTTCCTTAAATAAGTTATTGCAGAGGTGCCACCAATGTCACAGCTCCTGGTCACCTCACAGAAATCACCCCTGCAAACTCCCCCAGTACAAAAATCTGGCCATGTTAGCCCAAAATATTAGCCTTAGTTTTGCTCACAATATTAATAATAAATATTATTAATTAATAATTAATATTAGCCATTGTGTTTCCTGCCATGATGGACATTGAGTAACATTAATATTATATATTCTTTTTGCAGGACTTTCCTCTCTTCCCCCGATGTTTTCCAAGTCTGCTGGCCCTGATGACAATTTGCACATCAGCTCTGTACCAAAGGTAATGCTGATTTCTTGAATATCTCGACCTTTATTTTTTTTTGCTTTTTCACAGAGTGTGTATTGCACATAGACTTTGGGCAGGTAGACAATTAGAAGTCAATTACAGCTGTAATTGGGTAAGGGGAATGTCCCCTCATCATTCTTGACTGCATTTTCCTTCAAACGTGAAGGAAATGTGGATATAAGACGGAGGCACTGTGAAGGTGAGGTTTGAGGTTCCTCTGCAAACAAAATCCAGTGTAGAGAGAGTAAATAAATGTGAATTTTCTCTGGATCATTTCTTGACTGTATTTTCCAATATTCTAGAAGTTGCTTCAATCAGGAATTTTACATTGATCTTGAAACCTTTGTTATCTCAGGAGGGAAAGCAAACACCCAACACCCAGTGCCCCCAGAGCTTTGCCCCTTTTCCATGTGGAAAAAATGCAAAAAGAAGAGCTCAGTGTTTGCTCCTCCACTGGTTCCATTCTCAGTGACCTCATTCTGAAGGCTGGTGCTGCTCTCCCTTAGCTTCCTGCACAAGAGCAATGTGAATCCTAATTTATGCCATATTTTTATAAAATCCATTTAGCACCTCCAGGATGGTTTTTTTTGCCAATATTCTCTTGAGAGAGTGGTGGTGATGTGGTACTGAGTTCACTCCTCAACACAGTGATAACTCATTTATTTCTGAAGAGCTGCTTCAACATGTACAATGCACAAATCTGTCTTGGGGATGACACCGCACATAAATCACAGCAGAGTGTGTCAACTTCTCTTGGCACACAATGAAATTTAGGAAGCACTCAATCAACAATTAAAACAATGACAATGATCACATAATACCAGTACAAAATAACAGCAATGACACTGATGCATTTGTGCCTGCTAGTTATGATGGTTGATATGAATTACTTGTCAAACAAAATACTTTCAAAGGAAAGCTGAGAAGTCTGCACAAAACAGTGGAGGCATCAGTGTGGATCTGTAACTCCAAGCAACACTTTCAGACAGACTTTGGAATGGTTGTGAACAGGATTATGGGGCTTTTATCAGCTCCTGCATAGACAAATGGGGACATCACAATATACTGAGAAGCCCTGTTCAAACTGAAAAATAGTTTGTCTTCACCAAGACATTCTTAGATTGCTAAATATTCCTCTAATATATGGAAAATAGTTATAAATAACTTTCACCTCTTGATTTTCTTTTAGTGTTTTTCAAGAATGTGTGTGCAGCTCTTGATGCAGGTAGAAGCCACTGTGGCAGAGTTTTTATATTGTGCAGGGATAACTGGTTTGACAATCATAAATATTTCGATGTTATGCTGTGTTTCTGTGATGGATTCAAAGTTTCCCTGGCCACTTGATCTCCTCGGCCACCTAACCCAGGATTTCATGTGGAGGCTGCTCCTTTCATGTCTCAGTTTGAATCAGGACAGTGAACAGAAGATTCCATGCATGTGGCATGTGGTGTCTGCTCTCACAGCCAGAAGAGGTTGTGCTGAGCACCCTGGACACATTTCATGGCAGGATATTGATCCAAGAGGTGTCTGGATGTGGCACCATGGTTTAGGGGTGATGATGGTGGTGATGGTTGATGATGGGCCTGGATGATCTGGAGGTCTCTGCCAGCCTTGGTGCCTCTGGGATTTGGTGGTTCTGGGATCCCTTTGGGCATTTCCCAGGGCCTGGGTGCTCACTGATGGTTCATGGGCACTGGTTGGGCACTGTGGTGGCACTAAGGCATTTGGTGACATCTGAAAGGCACCAAATTTGGGTGTTCTCAGGCAGCTCCATCCAATGTGAGAACAATGATGATGTGAGTGGGGACCATCAGGGTTCACTGTCCTGATTCAAACTGAGACATGAAAGGAGCAGCCTCCACATGAAATCCTGGGTAAGCTGGCCTAGGAGATCAAGTGGCCAGGGAAACTTTGAATCCATCACAGGAACACAGCATAAAATTAAAATATTTATGATTTTCAAACCAGTTCTCCCTGGTCAATATAAAAACTCTGTCACAGTGGCTTCTACCTGCATCAAGAGCTGCACACACATTCTTGAAAAACACCAAGAGAGAATCAAGAGGTGAAAACAATTCATAACTATTTTCCATGTGTTAGCGGAATATGTAGCAATCTAAAAATGGCTTGGTGAAGACAACCTATTTGTCAGTTTGTGTTGTATTGCACTAAATAGTTAGGTGTATTGTGACGGCCCCATTTGTGCATGCAGGAGCTGATAAAAGGCTGCTGAAAGTTTACCCTAAATCGTGGATTTGCAGTCTGTGATTTAATTTTATCGCAACAAATGCAAACAGAGTAACACATATCCCAGGCAAAAAGTGTTTTTCTTTTACATTCACAACCTTCCCTGTTAACTGCATAATACAGGTTTTGTCTCAAAAGTTGTTCCTGGATATATTCCAATAAAGTTCAATCAACACTGATGCCAATATATTGCCTAATAACCATTGTAGTGCTCTTTCATTATATTTCTTGTCAAGCAGGTGAAATCAGGTGTTCACTCATTTAGCTGTTTGCTGAATCAAACAATTTGTTCAGAAGCCACCGGCCCTCCTGCCATCTTCCAAGCACAGAAAGTTGTGATTCTCACTTGGCTTTTCCTGCCTGACTACTGGAGACATTCCCAAAGATTTTCATCTTTATTCTCTAGGCCTTTTAGGGAGAAGTAGGGGGTAAAAAACTCAAAAAAGAAGGAAGAAAAGTTATCCTGAGGATTTTTTCCATAGTGAAGGAGGTCAGGAAGGGGTGGACTCCAATAAATTACTTCTCTCTCCCTGGGTAATCAGGAAAAATGAGCAGAAGTCCTTGCAGTGCTTCTTTAGAGGTCAAGAAGAAGGAGGGAAAACCCAAACTCCTCCCTGAGGAGCAGGAAGTCCATCTACTGATGGAAAAATTGCAGATTGAAGATGTAAAACCTTATCTATTCCCGTGTCTCTGAGGGTAAGGACTTCAAATTTGATCCCTTCTGTTCCATATGTAAAAAAGTTACAATTTTAAATGATTTGGGAGATTGAAGGAGACTTCATATCACATGTTGTGTTTCCTCAGGATTTGTTACCCATAGACCCAGCTGGGTACAAACCTGAAGTCCCTGGTGTGTGTCACACAGGGTGACAACAGAAAAACACTGAGCTCAGCTTTTGGCCATTCAAACTCTTGGAATCAGAAACTAATGCAAAACGTCCACAGAAGATAAATGCTGCCCAGTAATTGCACTGATCAATTCACAACCTGAACAAAAGGTTTGGCAGAGAACAAGGGAGGAAAATCAAAAGTGTGTGAGACGTTTAAAAAATGATGAGTAATGAAGCAAATTATTGAGCTGAGGGAAAAATGACCAGGCACTGGAAGAGGAGGCCAGAAGCATCAGTCAGAGGTGCTGGAAGGTCTTCATTGTGATGATATTGACTGAGAAAAGGTCAAACTGAGAGCAGAGGTGCAGGCTTCTGTTTAATGCAGATGTAGTTCCTGTCAGGGATGGGTGAGTGTGATCCTTGCTCCCAGCACTGGGGCTGAGCTGCCACAAAAATGGATTTTAGGGACCAACATCCACTCAGGGAACAGTTCCTCATTCCCTGCCCCACCCAAGTTCCTCATTCCCTTCCAAAACCCAAGAGCAGTGAGGGGGTGTGATGGTGTTCACCGGGGTTTTCGAATGACGGAAGAGACGAGGATCTGACTCCATGTTTCAGAAGGCTTGATTTATTATTTTATGGTACATATTACATTAAAACTATACTAAAAGAATAGAAGGACAAGTTCTCATCAGAAGGCTGGCTAAGAATAGAAAAGAATGCATAACAAAGGTTTGTGGCTCGGACAGAGAGAGCCAGCTGACTGTGATTGGCCATTAATTCCAAACATCCACATGAGACCAATCCCAGATGCACCTGCTGCATTCCACAGCAGCAGATAATCAATGTTTACATTTTGTTCCTGAGGCCTCTCAGCTTCCCAGAAAGAAAGGAATGATTTTTAATGAAAAGATGTCTGCAACAAGGGGCATCCCCTGCCTGGGATTCTGCAGATTTTGGGGCAGCGCCACCTCCAAGGAGCTCTGTTCTCCAAATTCCCACAGAGGGAGCTGAGCGGCTTGCAGGATTGGATAGTCTCCATAATGAGCTCATTTAATATGCCATGAAGGTCTCTGTGATAAATCAGGAGCCCATTCCATGAGAGAGGGAATGCTCATTTCCAATGGGCTGGGCCCATCCCTGCTGTAACTCCAGCCCAGCTCCAGGAATCTTCCACAGCCTCACTCCTCCTTCCCAGTCCAGAGTGAGTCATGGCTCCCTTAATGGGGAAAGATCTATTTTTCTTCCTAACTACTCCAAATGACACTCTATAAACTGGAAATATTATTTAGCTGTGCTTGTGGTTTTATCCTGAGAAGGAAATGAATGATGAATTGCAGCTCCATTTATTGCCCCATATAGAGCTGCTCTGACTCTGAGGGTTGTTGGAAAGAAAAATTAAGCTATCAAAATTGAATTAAAAGGTCAATAAATAGAAAAATAAATCGATGAAAGCAAACAATTTTCCCCCTGCTGATGAAATGGGCTGCAGATATGTCATGTTATTATATCCATTGGTTAGCATATCTTGATTAAGAGAGCAATAAATATTGATGATACAGATAAAGAAACGGCAGGGGAAGTTTACAGATTTTTTTCTCCCAAATGTCTGTGGGAGAAGGGGAGGAGTTAAGGCATAAGGGTGGGATTAACCCATGAAGAAACAAGGGGGAAAGAAGTGAATTTCGAATCAAAATTGAAAACTAAGGGCAGGGAGAGAAATAACCTTCAGAAGCAGAAATCTGTGGCTTTCCCCCCCTGATTTTTTGTTCTGTTTTTGTCAGCCCAGTGTGTGATGCATGCAGACACATTTGGGAGCCCTCCTGCCACATTAATGTCAGCACTTTGTTCTCATGCAGTTGGGCTTGAATATTTCTTGGCTGGCTGGTAGCAAGCCTTGAGTTTATCTCAGCATCAGTGTCTGAGGAGCTGCCATCCCTCCCCTCAGTGCTGAGAGTCCTGTTCCACAGGGCCAGATGTGCTCATCATTCACATCATATCACACAGGGTGCAGAACTGACTGAAACCCGCTTGTAAGAGCAGAAATCCTTCTTTCATTGACTGAAGATCACTATTCAAAGCACCATGGAAGGATTCACCCCTGAAAGCAGCTGATACACACTCAATTTACCTCCTGATTCACCCATGTGTTGCTAGCTCCCTTTTTGTCTGGGTGAAGAGCTGGAGGAGATGAAAAGATCTGTGCTGCATCTGTTTCCCCAACCAAACCAACAAAACTATGTGAAGCTTTTCCCAGTATCATAATCCTTTTACAGCAATCCCTGTGAAAAGGCACCCAAGGCAGATGATAAATCAACAGGCAGGCTTTGAAGCATGTGACTGTCAGATATCCATGGATAACTGGATGCCAAGCTGACAGCACAAAGAGATTTTAAACTGTGTAAAAGAAATGCTGATGTTAGCACATCCTTCCTGATGGGGGGACCCCCTCAGGAACTCACTCCTGTGATGTTGTGCTGTGGACAAACCACTGGAAATGGGGTTTTTCCCCTTCAACCTGTAGGGTGTAATGAGCTATGAAGCCCTTTTTCCTCAGACTAGGATGGGCAGGAGTAGTAAAGCACTGAATTAATCTAAAGAGGAAACAACTTTGAAATCAGAACCAAGCAGGGGCTGCAGCAGCTCAAAGCAGATCAGGGTATAAATAGGAAGTGGTTGTTGTGGTCCTGCTCCTCTGCATTATTATTTGTAATTGCAAGTATTATTTGTAATGCATTACTACACTGCATTATTATTAGTGATGTGTTGTATGAGATCTTCCATTCAGAAAATGAGTTTTAGGTCAGTGACCAGCAGCCAGCAGCCTCCATTTCAGTGAAGTGCAACCTCAGGAAGGCTCTGCTGCTTCAGAGAAAGCTTCCCAGAAAATGGGCCAGCACACAGCATGAGCTGATTGAAATTCGTGAAATTATTCATTAATTGACACCAGAGCACAGTAAGCATGAAGGAGAAGCAACTCTAAGGCAAAGAACTCTGAGAGATGCAGCAGGGCAAGGGTGAACCCTCATGGACATCAGCCTCACCCTGGGAGCAAACCTTGCTCAGGTCCTGCTTTGGTGGGGAGGAGAAGTGCCATGACTGGGCTGGATGGCTCATTCCTGAGGATGGGATTTTAAAGGAAAATAGCCCTGGTGGAGTTGTCCTTTCCCCAGTGCTTTCATGGGGCTGCCTGGATCCAGCTGCTGCTCATCCTCTGGCTCCCTGCTGGTCAGGATCATCTACAAACCTAAATCAGAGAATCTCAGAGTGGTTGGGGTTGGAAGGGATCTAAAAAATCATCCAATTCCACCCCTGTCCTGCAAGGACACCTTCCACTGTCCCAGGCTGCTCCAGCCCCAGTGTCCAGCCTGGCCTTGGGCACTGCCAGGGATCCAGGGATGGAATTCCATCCCAGCCCTGCCCACCCTGCCAGGGAACAATTCCTCATTGCCAAGATCCCACCCAGCCCTGCCCTCTGGCACTGGCAGCCATTCCCTGTGTGCTGTCCCTGCATCCCCTGGCCATTGTCTCTCTCCAGCTTTCCTGGGGCTCCTCCAGGCCCTGCAAGGCCGCCCTGAGCTCAGCCCAAAGCTTCTCCTGTGCAGGTGAGCAATGCCAGCTGTGCCAGCCTTTCCTGCCAGCAGAGCTGCTCCATCCCTCTGCCCATCCTGGAGCCTCCTCTGGGCTCTCTGCAGCAGCTCCAGCTCCTCCCTGTGCTGGGGCAGCTCTGCAGGTGGGAAATCACCTGAGCGGGACAGAGGGACAGAATTCCCTCCCTAAATCTCCTGTAGCATTACCCCAAATCTGCCTCTTTCCACAACATTGCTGGGAGAACTTTCTGATTTATGTCTTTTTTTCCTTTAGCAAATCTGGTGCAATAGAAAATTTTTCTCCAGCAAGTTCTGGGAAATATTCTCACCTCAGTATCTTGCTAAACATGGGATACAAACCATGACCTGTTTCAGGGAGTTTTAGAGACAGGGTGTTCTTGGGCCCCCTCTGAAACCTTCTGTTTGCTCACTATGCTACTGGTTCTGTATCTTTTATTCTCACAGACAACAATATGTGGGAATATATCCTTTCCACAGACATTAAACTTGCCTTTGGATTTTTTTTCTTTTTTTTTTCCCGTTTTACTTGAAAATTTGTTATTTTGGTGGGGGAGGTAGTAGAGAGCTCCTCTGCTTAACACTGAGGTCTTTGGGCAGGACCACTGAGGTTTTTGGGTAAGAAATTAAGTGCAGCAGAGGGATGTTGGAAAAGGTCTTTGAGCAGAGCCAGGCAATGCTGTTACTTCCCAAAGCACCTCTCCTCTGTGCAAAAATAAACAGTAAAGAAGGGTAAATTTAGAAAACAGCAGCATGTTCTGGCTACAAGAAGGGATGGGAGGGTGGAGAAAGAGAGTTGTGTTTAAAACAGAAGGCAGCTGTCTCATGAAATGCTCCTAGGATGGTTAAATTTATCCCACAGTGGTGCTGGGGCTCATTAAATACCAGAGCTGTGTTGTCCACATTTGTTATCTAACATTTGCCTCCATCTGTTATTCAATAATGTATATGTACCAAATGCATTATTGAAGATGTTTAATACTGGAAGAATACCAGAGCAATACAGACTGTGCATGATTAATGCTCCAGAAACAAACCTCAGGAAAATTGGTCAATAGTCAGAGAACCAAGTCTGGCTTGATAAAACATTTCACTGAGAAAAACAGTGAAATTTCCATTAATTTCCAAGAGCTTGAGACCAGGTGAGGAATTACAGGGAGGAGCTGTTGCTACTACATTTAAAAATCCACAGTTTTTGTTACTCAGATGCATTTGAGAGCGAATTTTTCCTTGTCTTTTCCTCTGCAATGATATTTTGTGAAAGCACAGGAGTAATTAGGGCTGGAGATGCACCTGCCCTTGTTTCAGATGAAGGAGGAGAAGCTTTCCAAGGCTGCTGAGCATTTTCCCTGCTCTGATCCCACAGTGCAGTCAGTGGCAGTGGAATCCTGGCAGTCTTGGGAAGTTTAAAAAAGATAAACACTGAGACACTGAGAGTTCTTCCAGCCACGTGAAATGCTGCTGTGCTGTGATTTCTGATGGGTCTGGAAAGCAAATATTCAGATTTTTCACAGCAATGTACAAAAAGCAAACATACAGATTTTTAAGAGGAACATTTACAGGTTCCTTTAAGAGAACCAGAGGAGGAACACCCCAAATCACCTTTTGCTTAGGATTACACAGGCTGCAGAGGCCACAAGGAGTTCTCAGGCGTCACTGAGAGCAGATGATGAATTCCCAGCACTGCCAGCAGCAGCGTGGTGCATGTGGAGCTTTTGTTTCGCTCTGCTCTCATGCTCTCCTTTGTGTTCGGATTGTGAGTGGGCTGCTGGTGATAGATTCCATTTTGCTGTCATGCTCTGGGCTGAGGGGTTGGCAGGTAACCTCCTGAGGCCCCTTGTGGGACTGCTTCTCTGGGATTTCTTCCAGCTCTCTCACTGGTTTTGCTCTCCCCTAGGTGCGGCCTCAAAGGCGTCCTGATTATCCCATCAGCCCAAAGAAAATCAGGAACGTGACACTCGTGTAGGATGTGCTTCTCCAAGAAGTTGCTTTTCTACATGTTTGGATGCCTTCATGCAATGCAGAAATGTTAAAACCAGCTCTCTCAGTTTAACTTATAAGTTATTTTTCTTTTTTTTTTTTTTTCTTTTCCCTCATGCAATGAAATAAAATTGCAACCTTTATAAAACAGAATGTGATATCACAGCAAAATAATGGACATAAATTACATCAATAGACTGCCCTAATTTCCAAGACAATGAGTTTGATGGGACTGTGGAAGAAGAATCCACGTTTTGGGTCCCCAGGAAATCAGCAAAACTGTCAGATAGCAATGTTGTGTTACAGCATTAGAAGATCAAGGACTGGAAATGCAAGATATTTATTATTTCAGAAGAAAATGGTTAATATAGTAATGGTTAATGCAATATCCATGCTTTTAAACATATTTTATGTACAGCTGATCATCCTGAGCTTTCAGATCAACAACATTTTTCCATTCCTATTCTGCAATAGAATCAAGGGAAGTTTTCATGGAGGCTGCTTCAAAATTTCTAACAAAACTATCTTTGGATCAGAAATGACATTTCTCCATTTCAATGCATTATTTTATGAGACGTATTTGCCTTAAAATTCCATTTCAAAATAAAACCCTATCAACCCAGGTGCCAAAAAAATCCTTTTTAAAAAAATTGAAATTCAAATATCTTAAGCTGCCAAATGTAGATTTGAAACTCTTGACTTTGAAGAGTTGTTGCTTGAATGTTTTATGTCTGTTCTACTTCTGGGCTGAGTTGTGTCACAGCAATGGTGGCTTCTGGAATTCAGTCTGAACAGTGTTTTTTCCTCAGGGATACAGTTGATAATGACCATGGGAAATGCACTTTAACAAAGCAGCTTCTCAGCAGAGCAGATCCAGCACATGGACCATATCTAAAAGTGATGAAATATTTTGTCTGAAATTTTCTATTTCATAATAAAAAAGTTCAATGTTAATATTTTATTTCTTTTCTTTTACAAAAAGGCAAACTTCTTCCAGAAAAACAAGATATTTTCAGTGTGCTCTTCTTCCTTCCCACTCAAAGAATTCTGAATTATTCAGTGTGTCTCACGTTAATCTTTGGTACAGACGTGCTCCTGAAAGAAGCCCTTGCTTCAAACCCCTTCCAGTGACACTCTGTGCAACAACACTGAGGAATTTGAGATCTGAACTCAGGAAGGAGAAGTTGTTTTGCACATTTAGCATTTGGTATCTCCTTAACTCGTGGCAGATTTTGTGTGCTGGTGGCATTTTCAGCCAGTCTGCCAGAACAAGTGCAGGGTCTGCCATGTGCTGTTTGTACACAAAGCTGTTTCAAGTTCTGACCATCCACTGCCTTTCTATCTTGTCTGCCTAAGGAGGAGCTTTGAAATGAATTTTATAATGTTACACAGACAAAAATATAAGCAATTTACATTGTGGCATATTGAAATTTTGCTTGAAAATATCCTTATTTTGAATTAAACACTCGTGTTGAAAAAAATCTACCTTATTCTGATACAAGGATTCCTATTGCTGACATTTGCTTGCTACCACTGTGGCTGAAAGCAACCTAAACACAACCAAAAATCCACTTTATTAGACGAATATCCACTGCATGAGAGAGGGAAGCCCAGGGTAACTCCAGCCTGGGATTTGAGGGGGTAAAAATCATGGAGCTTTGGCTTTCTGTTCATGTGCATTGTTAACAGGGCCTGCTGGTTGTCAGAAAAGTAAAAATAATCTCTAAACTCAGTGGTTTCCCAGTAGAGAGTGTTGGTTCATTGGGATATATTTTGCAAAGTTTTCAAGCTGTACTCCTTTGTTTATCTCCAGGCCCTTATTTTCAAGCTTAGCTTTGATATTATTTGGTGTCATGGCAAAGCAGCCAACCTAGGACTGAAGAAAACCTTTTCTCCACTTAATCAGAATCCTTCCACACTAATCAAACACATTTCTGTGTTGATGCCATGGGCCCGAGGACACAGACTGTGTCAGCACCAAGGAGATTTCTGTGCTGGGGAGTCCCCACTGAGATTCCCAGGCTGCAATTCCAGGTGCTCCAGGCACTTCAGAGGACACCAGCAATGCTTCTAAAATTGGTTTGCTGGGCCAAAGGGCTCCCTGGCACTCCTGATGGGTGAACAGTCTGAGAAGAGAAGGTTCTGATGCCTTCTGAAGGCTGCCCTGGAACAGAGCTAAAGAATAAAGCAGGGATTTATGGAAAGGTCTCCACGGATCCACCTTGGGCAGCACAACCCAAAATGGCCACAAAAATGGACAACTGGTCACGGGGATCTCTCCCTTGGATCCGTTCTGCTCCATTTGCACCTTGCAGTTCATTGTCCCATCCCAGCTTTAGCCCAGGCAGTCCCACCCTGCTTGTTTTTCTCTCTCCAGCCCACGGGGTTTGTGCTCCTGGGCTGAGATTGGGATCATTTGTCCTTGGTGCCCAGCTGGAGCAGGAATTGTTTTGTCTCCCTGCTCTGTGCACAGAGCTCACCATTCCATAATATGAAGCTCAGACCCACAGACTAAAGCAGCACAGAATGTGAAAAATAGAAAACTCAAACCTGAGGCATCAGTTGGAGATTTCATAGCAACCTGAAGAGGGGCTCCGAGGAGTCTGGGAAGGGATCCTTCATCAGGAATTGTAGTGACAGGACAAGGGGGAATGGCTTCAAACTGCCAGAGAGCAGGGTTGGATGGGATGTTGGGAAGGAATTGTTTCAAGGGAGGGTTGAAACTCTTGATTAAGAGAGAAATAAATATTGATGATACAGATAAAGAAATGGCAGGGGCAATGGAGAAGCTGTGGCTGCCCCTGCATCCCTGGCAGTGCCCAAGGCCTTGTTGGACACTGGGGCTTGGAGCAGCCTGGGACAGTGGGAGGTGTCCCTGCCATGGCAGGGGGTGGCTCTGGATGAGATTTAAGGTCCCTTCCAACCTTAAGGCAGCTGGAAAAGTGCTCCAAGGTGCCACTTTCACCTCAGGAACCACCAGAAAAATGTCCCTGAACATCCCACAGCAGCAGGAGGAGTTCACAGCCCCTGAGAACACCTCTCAGCCACTCAAGCAAACAAAGCTGTCTGCACAAACAGGTACCACAGCCATGGAAACTGCACATTAACCACAGTCTGGAGCTCTTTTCCCTCCCTGCCAGCTCAAGGAATGCATCCCACACAGCTCTGGAACACTCCTAACAGCGCTGACTCGAGGTTAAAAAATTCTCATTGCGTCCTTGGGATTTATGGTTGGGGGCATTTATTTCCTTGCAGGTTTGTTTGTTTGGGCATGTTGTACAGCCTGTATATCATCTCCAGTACTAGCTGTTACTTATGTTTGCAAATAGAGCTCCACAAATAACAATACATAAAATACAGAGACAATTTTCAGCTCACAGGGAATATAAAATATACAGGCACTTTCAGAAGGCACAGTAGACTAAAAATATTGAATTTCAGGCACTTTATGGAGACACCAATCTTTTGTATGCATGCATATTGATTTATAATTATGACTTGGGGGACATTTTAGTAATCTAGAAGTATCCAGCTTTTTACAGCTCACAGACTGTGCACAGTTTGATAATATAAAACCCTTCCCTGTTTCCTTACAAAATCTTCTTATTTGAATTCCATGCTTGTACACACAGGGAAAAAAATGCACTGAAGATAAACAGTATTTCATGCCACAGTAAGGTTTCCTAAACTTGTCTCACCAGATTAGTGTTTCACAGAAAACTCAGGCTACCTTTAATACAAAACCACTTAAAAATAACACTTGGCTTCACAGGGAGGTTTCTTGTTTCAACAGAATGCACCTCAGGTTTGTGTGGGCTGAGTGGAATCAACAGATGAACTCTTACTGAGGAGCACTCACAATATTGACTGAACATTTGGCTTCTCACTGATCTGATTGAACAGAGCCACTATTTTCAATATTTATTTGGTAGAATGTAGGATATATGGTGCTGCTGAGCTAAAATGCAGCATTTTTGAGGATTTGGGCCTCCCAGTGACATAGATGGGAATAGCTCTTGGGTTGCAGGGCTCACCATCCCTTTCCTCCAAAGGATCCTGCATGAGGCAGGAAAAACACAGCTTCCTACCAAATTCTCCAGCAGAAACTCATGGAAAACAGAAATTTGGTCTCCTTAAAGTGTCAGAGATATCTCCTTTTCCCACTCCTCACTCTCCACCCAAGCAGATCTTCCCCATCCAAAGTGGGGAAATGAGGCCCACCCCCAACTCTCCCTCTCTCTGAGGTTCTCTAAATCCCACACCCACATGTTGAGTTTGGACCACATGTGGGTGTGGGATTTAGAGAAACTAAGAGTTTCTCTAACTCTGGACAAAGGAGGAATTGAGAATCTGACTCCATGTTCTCAGAAGGCTGATTTAGTATTATATTATATTATATTATATTATATTATATTATATTATATTACATTACATTACATTATATTATAATAGAGAAAGGATACATCAGAAAGCTTAACAAGAATGATTATGAAAAACTCATGACTGACTCCAACACAGCTGATGGTGATTGGTCATTAAGTAAAAACAATTCACATGAAACCAATCAAACATGACCAGTTGGTAAACAATCTCAAGGCAGCAAACACAGGAGAAGCAAGCAGATAATTTTTGTTTTCATATCTCTCTAAGGCTTCTCAGCTTCCCAGGAGAAGAAATCATGGCAAAGGGATTTTTCCAGAAAATATGACAGTGACACCCACATTCCCAACAACACCATAAAATTAATCCAGTGGCCTCATGGTAACCGTGTAAGTGAAATTAAGCAATCAGGATAGACCAAAGTGGGCTCATATTTTCAATCTACAACCCAGCCAACCTCAGCTGCTGGGGGACAGCACAGCTCCCCAAACACCTTTGGCATCTCAGTACCTTTTTTCCCAGCAGCCTCCAAAACCCCTCCTGAGGATGAGGCTGAGCATTGAAATTCACAAAGCCACTTGTTCTGGAGGAGCATGCACTCGGCAGATGTGACTTTTATGATTACTCTCCTCCCACTCAGCACGATTGACTCTTGTTCCCCAGGCTATAAACTACCTGCCTCTTCCTCCCCCCAGGTGACAAGCAGCTTCACTTAAC